GGTCGAGGCTGCGGTGCCCTGGAGCGGCCACTGCACTCCAGTCTGGGCAACAGAGTGAGACTCCAACTCAAAAAAAAAAAAAAGATATTTTGTGGCCAAACCTGGAATTGGTGAACATCATTTGTTCTCAGTCCACTGGTCAGAGCTTTAATCACATGGGCCAATGTTACTGTGAAGGAACTTGAAAAATACAGTCTTCCTTTGTGTTTGGAAGGAAAGGGAAGCGAGTCAGGTGGAACATATTGCATTATTTCTGCCACAATCAGTGACTGAACGCCAGGATGAGTAGAGTCACACACTATGCCTTTGTTTTACTTTGTGTCCAGGGCTAATTGAGTAGACAGGGCCCTCCCCCTGCTCAGAACCCTGGGAACACTTGTATTAGGAGCCACACTTGGTGAACACACTCAGGGCGGTTGGGGTTCCATGTAGGCATCAGTTGGCTTCCTGTTGGTACTGCGAGAATTGGCAGGTTTTCAGAAGCAGTGTGCCAAGTATTCATTTAGATCCTCTGATTTAAGGTTTTAAGTCATAGGGATTCATTTTAGTGTTTAGAAAGTCTTTTAGGCTGGGTGCAGCAGCTCATGCCTATAATCCCTGCACTTTGGGAGGCTGAGGCAGGAAGATTGCTCGAATCCGGGAGTTCAAGACCAGCCTAGGCAACATAGTAAGACCTTGTCTCTCCAAAAATTTTAATATACAAATATAAAAAATAGTCAATTATTTACATAGCATGTACATTGTATTAGGCATAATAAGAGGTCTTGAAACCAGTTCCCCTGGGGATACTGAGGGTCAATAGTATGTATGATAGGCAAAGGGGGCCGATATGTAAATATTTGCAAATAATGCGTGATCAGTTACCTAGGAGTCTGCACAGGTTCGGGTGGGTTCAGCCTGAGCTTGGGAGGATGTGGTCAGTCTGCCCTTACCCTGAGGGTGGGGACTTTCTGGGCTTGACCTGAATATTGAAAGGTGACTGGTATTTACAGTTGGACCTAATGGGGAAGAGCTTCCTATCAGAAGCAGTAAAGAAGGCAGAGGAGGGGCTTGGTATCAGACAGGTGGATTTTGAGCCCTATACACAGTTGGGTGAGGCTGGGTCTTGGGTGGTAGAGGAATGGGAAGGTGATATAAAAGACAAAGAGATGGACCTGGAGAGAAAATCAGGGGCCGAGTCATGCCCCACTTGTCATTCTAAAGAATGCAGACTTCTCTGTGCTGGTAGCCGGGTCTCTGGCAGATGGATGGGAGAGAGGGAAGAGGGGGCAGGGAGCTCACCTGTGGCCCCTGTGGGGCCTGAACTTTGGGAGCAGCAGTGGGGGAGGGGGACAGGTATGAAGGCCATTAGGGTGCAGACTTGCTGTCACTGGGTCACTGCTGCTCTAGGGGAAGAGAGAGGGTGTGACCCAGGGGCTGGCAGGGGACTGAGTGCGAGGAGGTGGTGAAGGGAAATTCCATGTAGACATAGAGTTGAAAGGCCACTGGGCTCCCACAGGGTCATGCCCAGCTGTTGCAGAATGTGTCAGTCTGGAGTCTGTCCTGGAGCTCAGGTGCTGTCATCTGGAGCATGAGGCTATGCAGGTACAGAGGGGCTGCACACACTGGTAGAGTCAGGAGTGAGGTGGCATTGGTCTTGTGGGGGCCAAGATAGGACCATTAGAGAGGCAATAGGGGCCTGAAGAGAGTGAGCCAACACCAGGAGTAGAGTGGTCAGGAAGAGTGAGTCATCCTGATGCCCAGAGAGGTTGGTGAAGAGAAATGTGGGAGTGGGGCTTTGAGTCTGGCCAGCAGAAGACTGTTGGGGAGTGCAGTGGTGGTGGCATGGATGTGGTGGGGCTCAGGGCCGGCCCTGAGACAGAGGGCAGCCAAGTGAAAGTGGCCACAGCACACTGGCCCTGATGGAAGGAGAGGTCCGGGTCCTGAGCCTATGGGAGCCAAACCCCTGGGCAGGGGCTGGTACTCAAGGACTGATGTGAAGCAGGTGGGGGGCAGGGAGGGAATAGCTGGGAAGCAGCCCAGATCCTACAGGGTGTTGCTCTCTGTGGCTTCCAGGAGTTCACGGTGCTTCAGGACTTGTGGGCAGCCTTTAGTCCCAGAATGTCTTCTCCTGAGTCTGGGGGGAGTTGTGGAGACAGGTCAGTTGGGAGGTGGGTGACCTGTGACTTGCCAGCTCCTTGGCATTTCAGATGTTGCATTCCTGTGCCCAGACTAGCCCTCATCTTTTCTCTCCATTTTTCTGTAGATCGACCTGCGTTACGAAGCTCGGAATCTAGAGCACTTCCAGCGCAACTTCCAGAAGGTGAAAGCTGTCAGATTCCCCACGCCCCTGCATCCCTTTGTCACCAGGGATGTTTTGGTGGAAACATATGAAGTAAGAGTCGGGCTGCGCCTGTCACCTTTTTCCTCCTCGTCCCTGCCTCACAGATAGGCTTTAGTGTGGAGAGAGGAGCTAGGGCATACTGGCATGGGGGGAAGCAGTGTGGCAAGGTGGCAGAGAGTGCCAGATGCAGCCCCAGACTTCCTAGACTTGAACGTTCACTCTGCCATTGTATTAGCTGGTGACCTAGAAAACAGGCAACAGTTCTTGCTTCTTAGGATTGGCTAGAGGTAAATGACACACTGAATGCAAAACATAGAATTTGGTGCAGAGAAAGTATTCAGCAAGGGATTGTGTCATCGTCATTTGCCTTAGCTGTCCCCTAGTCTGTCCTTCTCTTTAGAGATGGCAATATAAGATTCAGGGGTGATATGAACTGCTGTGTGTTCTTAGCTGTGTGACCTTAAGTAAGTTACTTAAACTCCCTGGACTTTGGTTCTTTTATTTGTTAACTGGATTAAATAAGCCATATACAATGCTTTCTTACTAGCTCCCCTTTCTTCTCTCTCTGTCTCTCTCTCTCTCTTTTTTTTTTTTTTTGAGTCGTAGTCTCACTATTGCCCAGGCTGGAGTGCAGTGGCATGGTCACAACTCACAACAGCCTCAACCTTCTAGACTCAGGTGATTACTCCATCTCAATCTCCTGAGTAGCTGAGACTATGGGCACATGACCACGCCTGCCTAACTTTTTAATTTACTTTAGAAACAAGATCTCACCAAGTTGCCCAGGCTGGTCTCAAACCCCTGGGCTCAGGCAGTTCTCTTGCTTCAGCCTCTTAAAGTTCTGGGATTACAGGCATGAGCCACTATACTCAGCTCACTATGGTTTTTTTTTGAGTGCAGTGCTACACTCATGGCTTATTGTAGCCTCAGCCTTCTTGGCTCAGGCAATCCTCCCACCTCTGGTTTCTGAGTAGTTGGGATTACAGGCATGTGCCACCACACCTAGCTAGTTTTTTGATTTTTTTTTTGTAGAAACAAGGTCTTGCTATATTGCCCAGGCTGATCTTGAATTCCTGGGCTAAAGCAATTCTCCTGCTTCAGCCTTCCAAAATGATTATAGATGTGCACCACCATGCACGACTGCTTTCCGTTTTTCTGCTCAAGATCGCAGGGCTTATTCGTGTCCTTATTGGCTGATTCTTGACCAGAAACCAGCTCTCCTGGTGCCTGCACCTGTCTTTTCTCCACATCACCACTGTTAGTAGCAGAGTCAGTAGGTCTCTTTTCTTTTCTTTTCTTTTTGAGTCAGAGTCTTACTCTGTTGCCTAGTCTGGAAGGCAGTGGCACACTCACGACCACAGCGGCCTCAACCTCCTGGGCTCAGGTGATCCTTCTATCTCAGCCTTCCAAAGTGCTGTGGTTATAGGTGTGAGCCAACTCGCCTGGCCAGTCTCTTTTCTGTTTAACCCATGGGACTTATCCTTTGATAATTGTTTTAGAAGGAAAATATAAATCCATTCTAATCTACCTGAATGACAGATTTATAAGGGGTTCTAAGAAAGGTGAGAACCTGGGTTGCTTCCCAATCTGTGGGAGGGCAGTGTCACCATGCCACATGGGAGGAGGTCAAGTAGTGACAGGCTGGACAGGGTAAAGCTGTTCTCTCCCTGTCTTTGTCAAAGGAGAGCGTGCCAGTATCCAGTTACCAGCAGGCAGGAATTCCTGTGGACTTGAAGAGGAAGATTGCGCAGCTAGGGATAAACATGCTTCTGAAGATGGTGAGCTCATGGGCTAGGAGGGGTTGCTCAGGCCCGGCACCGGGCCAGGTTGCTATATTGCCTAGTCTGGTTTTGAGCTTGTGACCTCAAGCCATCCTTTCGTCTCGGCCTCCCTAAGTACTGGGATTACAGACATGAGTCTCCATGTGCCTGGCTCCCATGAACTATTTTAAAAATGTTTTCAAACAAAGTTTACTAGAGAAAGAGGAGAAAAAAGACAGGGAGACATGCCAGATGAACAATTTTTTTTTTTTTTGAGTTGGAGTCTCACTCTGTCGCCCAGGCTAGAGTGCAGTGGCACAGCAGTCTCGACCTGCTGGGCTCAGGCGATCCTTCCACCTCAGCCTTCTAAGTTGGAACTACAGGCATACGTTACCATACCTGGCTGATTTTTTGATTTATTGATTGATTCTGGGGGTTTGAGACCAGCTTGGGCAACTCAGCGAGATCTTGTCTCTACAGTAAATAAAAAAATTAGCCAGGCGTGGTGGGGTGCATCTGTAGTTCCAGCTATTTGGAAGGCTGAGGCAGAAGGATCACTTGAGCCCAGCTGGTTGAGGCTGTGGTGGCCGTGAGCATGCCATTTCACTCCAGCCTGGGAGACAGAGTGAGACTCCAACTCAAAAAAAGCTTGGGGAAAATCTTTGAACAATGAATAGAAAATTATTTTTAATTAGAATATGAATGACTCAAATAATAAGGTAAACATAAGGCTTTTGAAATGCAGTTTGGGGCCTAGTGCAGTGTTCATGCCTGTGATCCCAGCACTTTGGGAGGTGGCGGTAAGAGGATTGCCTGAGCTCAGGGGTTCGAAACTAGCCTGAGCAACATGGGGGAGACCTTGTCTCTATAATAAATCAAAAAAGCCAGGCATGGTACTACATGCCTGTGATTCCAGCTACTTGGAAGTCTGAGGCAGAAGGATCACCTGAGCCCACCAGATTGAGGCTGCAGTGTCTGTGAGGATGTCACTGCACTCCAGCCTGGGCAACAGAGCAATGGAGTGAGACTCTGACTCAAACAAAAAAGAAATGCACTTTGGTCTTAGACTTTTTTCTTTCTTTTCTTCTTTTCCTTTCTTTTCTTTTTTTTTAGTCAGAGTTTCACTTGCCCAGGCTGGAGTACAGTGACACAATAATGGCTCACTGCAGCCTCGACCTCCTGGGCTCAGGTGATCCTCCTGTCTCATCCTCCTGAGTAGCTGGGACTACAGGTGTGTGCCATTATGTCCAGCTAATTTTCTGAGGTTTTGTAGAGATGTGGTTTTGCTGTGTTGCTTCAGCTTTATGTTTCTTTACAATCTTTTTTCTTGTTCTTGCTTTGAGACTTTTTCTCTTGAAAACTTCAACTTAGCTTGTTCCTGTACATATTCTGAGTTCATGACATACAACAATGAGGCTTGATGAAATGTGCAACTGTTTGTCATTGTAGCAGATGACTGGGAGTTTGCTGTCACCCTAGCAGATTCTTCTGTATGTGGCTTGGTGGTGCTGGGGCCAGTGACCATTGACTTGGTGATGAACAGCGTGATCTTGTTCCAGATATTTGTGGACAACTTTGTGCATGCAGATCTTCACCCTGGCAACATCCTGGTCCAGGGTGCCAGCAGTCTCTCCACGAGTCAGGAGGCACAGCTGCAGCAGGTGGATGTCTGTGATACGCTGGTGGTGACCGTGATGCCTGCCCTGCACCCGTTGCGCCTAGTGCTGCTGGACGCTGGAATTGTGGCTGAGCTGCAGGATGCTGACCTGAGGAATTTCCGAGCAGTTTTCATGGCTGTGGTGATGGGACAGGTGAGGCCTACTGGGCCCATAGAAGTTGGGGCAAATCTTTTTTGTTTTTTTTTGAGTTGGAGTCTTACTGTGTTGCCCAGACTGGAGTGCAGTGGCCGCTCCCGGCCACCGCAGCCTCGACCTGCTGGGCTCTGGCGATCCTTCCGCCTCAGCCTTCCGAGTAGCCGGAATTACAGGCATGCGCTACCACGCCCGGCTGATTTTTTTTTGATTTATTGTAGAGATGAGGTCTCGCTGCTAAGGCGGGTCTCCAACCCACGGGCTCAGGCAATCCACTCACCTCAGCCTCCCAAGGGCGCGGGATTACAGGCTGAGCCACCGAGCCTGGCTCAAAGCTTTTTTTTTTAATTAAAAAAATTTTTTGCTGGGGGGATGGGCATGGTGGCTCACGCCTGTACTTTGGGAGGCTGAGGCGGGAGGATTGCTTGAGCCCAGGAGTTCGAGACCAGCCTGGACAACATAGTGAGACCTCGTCTCTACATATATTCCAAAAATTAGCTGGGCTTGGTGGCACATGCCTGCAGTCCCAGCTACTCAGGAGGCTGAGGTGGAATGGTCACCTGAGTCTAGGAGGTCAAGGCTGCAGTGAGCCATGACCATGCCACTGCATTCCAGCCTGGGCAACAGAGTAAGACCCTAACTCAAAAAAATAAAAAAAAATCTTTTTTTTGGATATAGGATCTTGCTCGGGGTGTAGTGGTGCAATCACAAGTCACTGCTGCCTCAACCTCCTGGTTTCAAACAGTCCTCCTGTAGCTGGGGCTACAGGTCTGCTTCACCATGGTGGGCTAATGTTTTGGCTTTTTGTGGAGACAGGGTCTCACTATGTTGCCTTAGCTTAATTAAAAAAAAAATTTGCCGGGCTCGGTGGCTCAGCCTGTAATCCCACGCCTTTGGGAGGCTGAGGTGAGTGAATTGCCTGAGCCTGCAGGTTCGAGACCCGCCTGGGCAGCGAGACCTCATTTCTACAATAAATAAAAAAATCAGCCGGGCGTGGTGGCGCATGCCTGTAATTCCGGCTACTCGGAAGGCTGAGGTGGAAGGATCGCTGGAGCCCAGTGGGCGGAGGCTGCGGTGGCCGGGAGCGGCCACTGCACTCCAGTCTGGGTGACAGAGTGAGACTCCAACTCAAAAAAAAAAATTTGACTGGGTGCAGTGGTTCAAGCCTATAATCCCAGCACTTTGGTAGGCCAAGACAAGAGGATTGCCTGAGCCTAGGCAACATGGTGAGTCCTTGTCTCTACAATAAATAAAAAAATTAGCTGGGTGTGGTAGTGCGTGGCTGTAGTTCTGGCTATTTGGAAGGCTGAGGCGGAAGGATTGCCTGAGCCTAGCAGGTCGAGGCTGCAGTGGCTGGGAGCATGCTACTGCACTCCAGCCTGGGGGACAGAGTGAGACTCCAACTCAAAAAATAAAAAATTTATTACAGACAGGGTCTCATTATGTTGTATAGGCTGGCCTTGGACTCCTGAGCTCAAGTGATTCTCTGGCCTCAGCCTTCTGAGTCGCTGGAACTATAGGCATGTCATAACCACACCTGGCTAGGGGGGTGAATCTTTTATGTTCCAGGGAACTGCCCTTATCTGGATGCAGGCAGTTTTAGCCAGTTGTTCTTATAAATGCCCATGTCTGCCAAAGTTCCTCTGCTAGAAACAAGTCTGGGAGAGAGAGGAGAGGAAGCAAAGCCAACCCTGTGGGGTCTTCTTGAGAAGGTCTTGGGGCCTGAGGCTAGTTCTTTTTTTTTTTGAGTTGGAATCTCACTCTGTCACCCAGACTGGAGTGCAGTGGCCG